GGGGGGGGGGGATCGATCTTTTCACACCTGCCAACTTGACTCTGTTAACACGTACGTGGGAAAGATATTGGCAGAGGGTGGAAGATGCTGTTTGGTCCATTTGGTCTTTTGTCGAGTCTTCAAAGTGATCTCGGCCGAGATTCGACAGCTACCGTTTCTCCGAGCAGTGAAATCGCTTTGGTTCGCAGACGGAACAAAGCCATGTTGATTCTCGATGGACCCGTTTTGCTCTTGGGATTTTATCTTTTGGGCTTTGTTTTTCTTCTCTTTTTATACCACTCGAACTTGAAAAGTGTTTGCACCTTATACTTGGGTTCTCGCTTCCGTCGGCTGAAGAGTGAAGGTGCCAATAGAGAGACATCGAAGGCTATTTATCTCGGTCCTGGGACTGACCTTGAGAACCGGGAGTATCAATGATGCATAATAGAAAAATATGATATTGCCACTATTTATTTTGTCGAAGGTAATTAATGGTTTTTGATTGATTAGAATCGATTTGTCGCGCACTGCCCTTGGGCAAAGAAAAATTGGCATTTGCCAAATTTTCGTATGGACACCTTTAGAAAAATTGATCACTCGCAATGACGTTTTGCCAAAGAGAACCAAAGCCGGGTTACTTTAGATTAATGATAATCCATTTTTTACCATTGATTACAACTCGCGGAATATGTCATTGCTAATAATACAATTTTCCCAAGGGTGTACACCCTTACAAAACACCCTTGTGTACACCCTTAGCAAATAACCTATAGGCCATTACTGAGCTTGCTCGTTACTGCTTATTACCAAAATTGCCTTTCCTCAATTGGATATCAAGCACGGGCTGATGATCATGGGCTAGGTCGCTCAGTAACTGGCTGAACGTCGTCCGCGTTCCAGCCTTGTAAATCGGAGCCGGAAGTCCGTTTCACTGGATCGTTCCAGCGATAGGGAACGAACGTCTGAAGTATTCGCCCAGGTCCAGTAGCGCAGTGATCATGATTGGTGCATATGGGTGTCAAGGATGTCGCAATCCAAGGTCGCAAAATCAGGAATTCGCTAAGTATGCTGTACGTTCATTAAGTATTCTCTAGACCAAGGCAGCTGGGTACGAACCTGGTAAAAATTTTATCGAGCAAGCTCAGATCCCTCTTAAGGTACACACTGGGCCAGAGTGGGACTTTGATGGCGCCCTATATTCTCAGAATGGCATTTCTACTAGGGGACCTTTTCTGACTGAAAAGGGGATTGGAAATTTTTGGCAAACCTGACCAATCGCCGTTGCTGAAAAGCAATGATAAAATTTCGAGTTTCCTTTTTTCGATACTCCATACATTAACGATAACCGACGTCAAAACACTTCGGCAAATTTCGTTAGCGTTTTATCAATTAGCTCGCTGATCGTCAAAAGGTCCACCGGAGGCTGGGTGGCGGAGGGGGTTGTTCAAAAGGGTGAGAAATTTTGTAAAGAGGGTTCTTGGACAAGAAGACGAATTTACTCGCGTTAACTACCAGCGAATACGTCACCGACGCCCTCGGGCGTCGCGGCGCAAAAGGATGGCGGAATGGCAGACGGGGGACCGTGTCTGCTCACTTCTGCCCCTTCGCCACCCCTAAATGAGAACGAGCGAGGACGAGGAGAGGAATTACATTTTAAATGAGCCGCTTAATGAAATCTGCTTGCAAGAATTAGGAAGTTGCTTGAAACTATCCCCCCAGTCGGGCAGCTCCAACCCTTCCTTGGCTCTTCCACCCTCGTCGTGAACTTGTGCGAGTAAGGAGGGACGATCCCTACGTTAATTCCCGTCTGGTTCCTTTTGGTTTCTTCGTATCTTCCCTTCTGAGTCTTTTCAACCCTTTCACCCCCTCCGGCCCCTCTGTGCCTTGTATCCTCAATCCCTATATTTCGATCGTAATGCCGGCCCGATACAGTCGGCCGTGATGCCACGTGGCAGTTTGGAAATGATTCACGTCGGATAAGGGATGACGCGTAGGGGAGGAGGCAGGAGGGAGGGCGAGTCGTTTCCCGTAGATTTACAAATCATTCGCAATTAGTATAAGCGTAAACGTAAACGTCCTATACGATTACGTATGACGCGAGGGCGATTACGGTGATTTGTTCTTGCGCGAATCCCATAGGGGATGAAAGCGCCAGTTTCTTCCACGGGGGTTGTCGGCCGTTATATGTATACAGGGCTTCGTAAGGTAATGCAAATACGGAAAAAATCGTGAATGACGTAAGAAATTTTTGTTTTTGAAAAAATTTTGATTTAAACTATTTTAAGGGATGACGAGATAACGGTACGGTGTAGCACTCTGTGGCTATGTCCTACGCGCGCGCTATGGCTTAACGGGGTATACTATACAGGTATGCTACAGCAACGGTGTATTATGAGAGAGCGAAAACCAAAGCTGCAACTTTGTTCATCAATCAGGGTCGTCAGAATGACTAAGCCACGTTGCCAAAGAAATCAACCCCTCCCGGACATCTCTACGTTACGTCCTGACGACGCCTATTTTCTATTCGTACGCGACCTGCGGGTGGCTTGAAAAAATTCGAAAACTGCCGGCACCGCAATACCGTCGCAGTCCTAGGAAGGCGCGTGCTATGGTTCCTTACCGTTCGATACTGAACGTCACGCACCGGGTGACTTTTTTTTATTGAACTATTCATTTTTCAATATCAAATTTTTCACCTTGTGCCGTCTAGTTTTCTTTTTTCCGTATTGCTTCGAAAACAGAAATTCCCTAGGTACTCGACAGATCGCACCCAAATACTTAAACCCTTATCCCCGTTGTATAGTCGCACCCTTCCGTATTTCGCGCAATCTGCATGAGTTTTGCTCGCTCTGCTTTTCAACCCTCGCTCGAGAGCCAAGAGGGAGAGGGTGGGGGGGGGAGTGGAGGGATG